AAAAGAGGCCATCAGAGAGCAGCAAAAATGATTAGAGGTCTGGGAAATATGATTTACAAGAAGAGATTTAAAGAAGTTGGGGTGCAGGGGAATGAAACATTTGGAACTACTGTGTTTTGACTCTGCACTAGTTTTTAAGTTTCATACCCTAGTTCAAGGCTGCTCAACCTCCAGGCCAGATGTGGCCCACAGAACCCTTGCATCTGGCCGATGGGTCGCCCTACAGGTTGGGAAACTTGGCAGCAGGGGAGTGGTGGCCATTAATACGACCACTCTTCCTTCTTCCAAATACCCAAACCCCAAGCCCTGAGTACCCATTGGAGCCAGGTCATATCCCCTTACCCCTTGCAGGGCCCTGTAAAGCCTCTGTCCCTTTCCCCCCTCCACGTGGCCAGATGGTGGTTGTGACACTGGCCTTGGGTGCTGGAGCAGAACCAGCATCTGGCCCATGGTTGGACCAGTCACTTCCCACCTGGCCCACTGGGGGAAAGAGGTTGAGCACCACTGCCCACGTTAGTTGATGTGACATTTTTCTCCTTTTATAAGAACCTAGCAAAAATGTCCTCATATTACTGCAGATAGAGCCTGTTTTACATTTTAACTGACAAAACTCATAATGAATGGCATGGAATTTAGTACAGGTGTTTATATGTAATTTATATGTATAAATTAAAAATGCCTCTCTCTACCTTGGGATCCTGCATTATCTTAAAATCCCAGTGGAAAGATGAGCTCTTACCTAAGCTTGGAATCATTGCCTAACTAAGCTGACTGATGAAATAAGAGCTATATTAGTCAACAAGGCAGCAATTTGTACTGGTGGAGTTTGTTTCTGCTTGAAACCAAGTTAAGTAGTATTGCACCAATTACAGATTCTGCTCTAGTTTTGTGCTGTGTAGCTACAATGGTGCTGCTGCAGAGATGCATGAAATCAAGGATAGCTCTCCTCTACCAGTCTTTTCTACATGGGAAGTTAAGACACAGGCAATAGTTCCGAATAGGCTCTTAGTGAGGGAAGGGAAGGGAAGTTTATTTTGGTTACACATAGGGACTGACTGTCTGCTTGTTTTGTTTTTTGTCATTGCTACTAGTGACAAGCCGGCATCTGAGTTGCTGATCTCTTCACCGCCTTCCTATGTCTCTCTTGCTGGATCTGTTGACCTGTCTACATATCGTTTCTGTAGCTTCCTTGGCTCTGGATGGCTGATAAAGTAGGATGTTTAGTCTGATGGCCAATTGCTGTAGCTGGTTAAAACAGTGGCAGGAGCCTGTCAGGTAAGACTGAGCAGATTGAAGTATTCTCCATTTCTATAATTATATGTGCTGAAACAGGCTTTGCAGAGTGTACTAGCTACCCCAGGTTATTCCATACTACTATCTAACTTTGGTTCTTCTTAGTGATACTTCACTGATTTTGACTTAAAAAAAAAGAGAGAGAATTCAGGCACTAAACTTTGAAAGAAAACACAAACCAACGTTCAGTAATACCGGGTAATTTTTTAAAAATTTTTATTTTTATTTTATTTTTTGCTGAAAGGATTCATAATGCTTGTAATACTGACTTTGGTTAGGTTGCTTAAATTGAAATTTGGGGTAGTGGGAAGTGGTGGGTAATTACGTTTTTTAAAGAACTTCTTTCAGAATTCTTCCTTTTTAATTCTAAAGTGTAGCATACCAAAACCCTTTACTGGGGTAGCCCGGATTTTCACTTAAGTCCTCAGAAATAACTTACAAACAAGTTTTGCAGTCGCTCTGTTTAGAGGACTGGATTCTATTTTTAATCATGGTCTTTGGTTTAGGATATAACTTCTCAGAATTCCAGTCCTTCCATGAAACTTGTATCGTAAGGAACTAGATTGCAGTGGTTGATTTATGATTTTCTTTAAAATATCAGTTTTCATCAATATTTTAAGTATTTTCCTGCTACAGTGAGCATTTTGGCTCACCTTTTTTACTTCTGCCCTTTGTTTCTTTTCCTTCCCTGCATTCTTTACCCACATTTCTTTGAATGATATAGTTGATGCCTCTAGACTGGCTGCTTCCAGGCTGAGGGAAAACAGTGCATTTATTTATACTTGGTTTACTCTAAAAAGATTTCTTGATAACCGTGAGTGGAAGTTAATAATATATATCTTTAAAAATTAGATTCTGTAGAATCTAAATGTGTGAAGTTTGTTAAAATATGCATCCCAGGTATGTCAGATGTATGACCGTGTTAATCTAGTAAAAACATATGTGGTCTTATGAATACTTTTGATTATTTCCCTTTATTCCTCTGGTCTTTGCTTATGATCCTGCCCTCTAGCTTTTGAACTCTCTCATCAGCCTTCTGGATTCTCTAAAAGTACTAATACACAGTGCCACAAATTCTGTGTCTCGTGTTATTAACATATGTGATCTTAAGGAGGCAGAAATAACCACACTTCTGGGGTTTTCCTGCTGGTTACTAAAGCTTCCATATTAATCCAGAGTTTTTGTGCTCAGACTATACACTATTCTGTAATATAGTGGGGGCAATTTTTTTTCCAGATGTAGTATAAATTAGTTTTGCACCCTCCCTGATTGTCCCAGTCCTCTTCCTCTGCCCAATCTGCTGCTTTACTTTCTGCTTCCTGCCCTGTACCTTATCTTCTCTGCTCTGCCTTCTGCTTCCTATACTACTGGATTCCCCCAATCTGCTGTGCTCCACATACAGCAGGGGCGCACAATTATTTCAGGTGGAGGGCCGCTTACTGAGTTTTGGCAAGCTGGCAAGGGCCTCAGGGGTAGCCCTGCCCCTGAACAGGTTCCCTGCCCTCTGGTCGCCATCTGGGGACCAGAAGTCCCTCCCCCTAACCCTTGATCTTTGCCACCAGAAGCCCCTCCCTTTGCCCCTGGAAATACTCCTTTCAGCAAGGGGTTTTGCCATCTCAGAACTAGAAAAACACCGAAATTATATTCTAAAAATCAAACATACAACATTCATTAATTTGATTTCAAAAAATATTTTTGTCCTGATTTACCTGTGTTTGTGTAGTGTACCTGGAGATGATTGCACAATAGCTTAAAATGAAGTCTTACTCTTGTATTTTGTGGGGAGCTGTGGGTATGTGGGGGAGGGTGTGGGTGTGTGAGGGGGTTTTGTGGAGGTGGACAGGTATTTGCAGTGAGGGAGCATGTGGGTGTGTGTGGATACGTTGGGTGTGGTGACTGTAGGGTGTGGGGGGAGGGTGGCTGGGCTGTGTGAGGGGATATGGGGGTGGGGGTCTGCATGTATAGCAGTGTGAGGGGGGTGTAAGTGCATGTGGATGCTGGAGGGTGGTTGTGGGACTCGCCCTATGAACACATGCACATTCTCCCTCTCCCTCCCTCTTTGCATGTGCACACGCGCCTGTACACACATGCTCTGCTTTGCTCATCTCTCTCTCTCTCTCTCTCCTTCCCTCATTGCTGTATCTGTCTCCCTCTCCCTCATTACACAGACACCCCCTCCCCTCCCGTTCCTGACCCTGGGGTAGCAGCACAGCTCAGTGCTTCTGCAGTCCAGTGATGCAGCCGGGGGCCATGTGGTGCTGGAGGCAGCTGTGTGCAGGGAAAGCAACTGCAGGCAGAGACTTCTGGGTTGGGGTTCCAGGGCCAAGGCTGGGTAGGCCTTTCTCCTGACTCCTGCTCACTTCCCCTGGGCCGTGCTGCCCCTGGCTCCTGTCATCTTTGACAGGCAGCCAGGACCAGATAAATATTAATTTTTTAAACTTCTTAGGTGCCCTGCGAGCTGGATCGAATGGCGTGGCAGGCCAGATCCAGCCCACAGGCCACATGTTGCCTGCAACTGATGTACACAGAGCCTGTATGTGGCACTTGTACCTCAGGTTGGTCCCTCTTGCTGCCATACAGTATCACTGTAATGAACCCCCATGGGACTGGGAGAACAGCTCATGAGAAGAGGGGTTTTGCTGTAAGAGTTAATTTGTTCTATCGTAATAGTGAAAAGCCTGGTTCCTGCTGTTGGGATTGGCACAGGAGGCTAAGTGATGAGGCTCTGTGGGCCATATCTTTGGCACCCATGCAGTAGGGCATATGATGCCTGTTTTGAAATTGAAGTATGACTGGCCACTTAGCTTGTAGGGGCTTTTTCTATCTACACTTAAGTTGTGCATTAATAGAATAGGAGCAAATCCCCAGTGATCAAGTTGGGTGTGGACATGTGCATGTGAGAGATTCTTGCAGTTATTCAAAAGAACATGGCTATGTGAAAAATGAGATGCAGACTTACAGAGCATGAAAAATAAGCTTTAGTGAGCAAAAAGAAAGTTAAAGGTATGATCATTAAGTTTTGGGTGAATCTTTTCAAGTAATGGTATAAGTGTTGAGTTTGGTTAATTTGTCACTTTACTTCCTGATCAGGTGGTTTGACATGTTGAGCATCCAATACATCCATGTAATTTTCTGCTGCTTGATATTTTGAAGCTTTTAGTTTTAAGGTACTTTGTTTACCTTGGCTATGTGTGCATTCAAAGGCTTGCTAAAAAAAATGGTTAACTACAAGCAAAAAGCCTTGACATGTTTTTTTTTCTTTTTGAAGGAAGGTGACACTAGTGATGGTGGGACTTGATAATGCTGGCAAAACTGCTACAGTGAAAGGAATCCAAGGAGGTAAGCAAGTCAGTCTGTGTATGTTCTAAAGGAAGTGTTCAGAGACCGCACCATCTGAAAATGTGCAGCATGTGATGGGGGATGTTTAAATGGCATGTCATCAAATTCTTAACTTTTTTTTAAAGGGGATTTAGGAAGGGTTTTTATGCTTTATACAGGGCATGTTCCAAGGAAGGAAATGAATGATTACACAAAGGAATGAGTGAAAGCATTATTGTCAAATGCACAGAGAAGCACTAGTAGAAGAAATAACGTTGTTTTATTTATCCTGAGTGTTGTGTGTTACAAGATGTTCAGCATATCCAAGCAGAAGTGTAATTTCCTCTTGCCACCATCCCTAAAACCATTGCTATCCCTTTTAGAACTGCTTTTTACCTGAAGATATTGGGTCCCCTACCTACACATGGACAGACGCCTACATCTGTGCAGATCCCCACTGTTTTTGGTGGTACTCTGCATGGGTCTGTGGTGTGTAGATTATTTAGGAGGATTGGTATTTCATTAGGGAATTCCTAGCCCTGAATTCCCAGTCCTAATCCAAGCAATCAAAGTAACCATATAGAATTAGGTGCTCAAAACGGCCAGAAATTCAGTAGGACAGTGGTGCTCAACCTTTCTGGCTCATGGGCTGTGTGCTTAGTATCGTTTCTCTGAGGACTGGATGTGGCCCCCTCCAGCAGCACTGAGGGGCAGGGACAGCCTGGCCTCAATCCAGCCACATGGTGCAAATGTACTTGGACCAGCCCCAATCTGGCCCTACGGCAGGGGAGGACTGTGACCTGGTCCTGGTCCTGATCCAGCCCTGTGGGGAGATGTGGTGTGGCTTGGCTCTGCTGGAGAAAGGGGGCATGACCTGTCCTGAATGTGGCTGGGTGGAGGGAAGCGGCTTGGCCTGGCTCCGAACCACCTGTGCAGGGAGAGGGGTCATAGCCCAGTCCTAGCCTGGCTGGCTGGAGGGAAGGGGGCATGGCTTGGCTCCAGTCTGGCCCATGGGGCTTGGGATTTTGGCAGCAAAGAGGGGTGGCAGTACTGCCACTGCTCTCCCACTGCCAAACTTTCCTGGCCCTTGGGGAGCCCTGTGGGCCAGATGCCAAGCCTCTGTGGGCCATGTTTGGACTGTGGGCCAGAGGCTGAGCGCCTTTGCAGTTGGAAGTTAAGTATGGAGAGATATAATGCTTAGTGCTCTCCAAGTGCCATTAGAGTGTTCCAAAAGTTATCCTGGATGAAACAGGTAAAGTGCTTCCTTTTATGTGAAAAGGGAAAATGTAAAAGGGAATGTCTTGGGCTTCTTTGAAACTCCCAGCCTGAGTTTTTTCAACCAATGAGCACTGAAGTGTGTGGGACTGTTCTACTCATGTGCACCTCCATTGTGAATGGTATGCCTAAGAATATGCACTACTACAGTTCACAAGAATTTGGGTGTAGGCAAATGTTTACACCATGTTGCAGGTCTTATGAGCATAAATCTGGTTTTTGATGCTGTGTTTTCTAAGCTATATTCAGTATACTTTCTTAGTTCAAAAAGCTTTAGTTTAAGAAGTTTAGAAAGTGTTTTCATTTTTTTTTTCTCGTTTCCTTTTTGGAGACAGAGCTGGCTATCAGTTGCTAATTTGGTATGACAATGCAAAATAAAATAATCTCTGTAGGTTTTCTGGTTTAAAGATGATAGTTTGACTCAATTTTATTTGAATTATAGTGATGATGCAGAGGGTTTCCTTTGGTTAATGAGGCATTTTACGTATTAGCATAGGTTAGAGAAATGAATTGATCTAATCTTTTTGTGCAGAAATTGCTTTCTGATGAAACAGTAATGTGCATACCCCAGTAAACTTTATGTAAAATCAATGTTGCGAGTATAAGCTGCTTTTATGATATTGACTGTCGGTGTAATTAGGAAAAGACCGCAGACAAGGTGATTTTTATATAAAAATAAAAAATATATACAGGTTAACTGAAAAAAGCCACCAACTTTCTAGATATTTTGTGTAGCAGGGGACCATTTGATATCTAAGGGGACTTTGTTTTGCCTTTCTCCACTGCCTGATGTGTATGTAGACCATAATAAAAATTTGGTCAGACAGTGCTCATAAACATAGGTGTTCAGTATAATTTTCTCTGAGATGCTAGGCAGCTTCTCCGATTTATTTCTATTTCATTTAGCATCAAGAGCTGGTAGGCAATGTGTCAACAGGTATGACAACACCGTCTGCCCTTAAGTACCATTTGTTGGTCAAATATTTTCAAATAAGGGATGCAGTCACATATGGACAGAATGCTTTTCTGTCATCCTGGGCCCTTTATTTGGAAAACTTCAGTAACTTCATATTTATTGTTTAATGCTGCAGTATATAATAACTATTTTAATGCCTGCTTCAGCAAAAAGCAGCTGATTTTCCTGAACATTGCCAGAGAGAACTTCTTTGGAATAAGCCTTTCCTAGAAAATTGGAACCACAATGGATAAGATACTTTTCCCATGAGATTCAAAAAAAATA